AGGGCGACGCCCAGCGCCAGCAGCAGCACGGCCAGCGCCTGCAGTGGGCGCACGCGCTCCAGCAGCGGCGCCGCGCCCGGCGCCTCGCACCTGGCCAGCACCTCGCGCGCCGCCCCCTGCGCCAAGGCCACGGGCACACCGGGAGGTACCGCGAGCTTGGGTAGAACGGTCTTTCTCGGTCGGGCCGCATTATCGCGACCGTATCCATCATTGCTAGCATTAGCGGCGGTGTAACGATGGTGTAAGGTTAGCGTACTGGACTGTTGTACCCAAGTTGGAGGGTTCAAACCCGATCCCAAACCCGATTTTTAAGGGCGAAAAAATCCTTCGTACGCCTTCCTTCGGAGGGGAAGTAAAGCCATGTTCGTAGATTTACTTGCATGTAAAAGATCCTCAAGCCTAAATGACGCCTCTGAGCTAAATTCAAATCGCCTGTTTCTCGCCCAAGAAATACCTCCTTTCTCTCCTAGTTGGTGAAAGGAGCGTAGCGAAATTTGCGTGGTCAGACGGAAGAGCGGGCCTGGTGGCCCGAGTCTCGCCAAGTAAAATAAGGCAAATTCAATTCAATTCAAATTCAATCATTGCTAGACGGACGCGATCTTGCGACATCTAGCGGCCCGACGTTGAAAGACAGTGACATAATGCCACCGTGAAGTAGCGCCCAGGGCCCGGCAACTCTCCATCGAAATTGGGGACAAAGATATGGGTTGCTACTGTAGGATGCGCTAGTGTCGCCGGATATAGCAGCTGGTAAGGCTCGCCAACTTTCGCACATAAAAATTGGTCAAGAAATACGAATACACTTTGATTATGAGCGATTGATATGCACTTTAATATGAGCTGGAGGAGAACTCTAGAGGCCGGCTACTTTGTTAGGTAGTTTTCCGTGGTTTCTCCGATCAACACCAGGCGAATGCCGGAGCACTACCCTAACAAACGAGCCACGGACCGCGCGCGATCTTTCCTTCCTCTTCCTTGCCCTATCCTCACCCCATACTTACACAGACACACACACGCACACACTACCACACATGTAGGGAGACATTCCGGCTGGGGTGGTGCCACGCTGGTGAGAGGTACCTGTTTGGGGAAATCACCGCGTGTAAGTTGGCGTCGGATCTGTATATGATAGCATTGTATTTTTTAGGATCTGATAATCTAGTTGTTGTTTTTTTCATGCCAAAAAAGTCGAAAACTGGGTGGTGAGAAGTGAGTGGACTATGGTGAGAAGTTAGTGGACTGTGGTGAGAAGTGTTATCAATGCCCGTTTTCTTAAATTCTGGTATCTCTACTCGAACAAAGATTCGTTGCATAGAATAAGTTGATATAGGAATACTGTAGCAAACGAGTGTTATTGACAAAAATTGATGATAAAATATTAGCTCCTATATAATAAAAACTATTTTCATAGAAAAAAGCTGCAGCTTTTGGCTATTATCCCCCAACGTGCCCTTCGTGAATAAATTGCGAGAACATCGCAATTTATATATATCGCGTAAAATACTACGAGAACATCGAAAACGTGAATTTGAATAATTATATTACTAACTCAATTCTAGAAAGATGCACAGATAAAGAAGTTACATTTATTATCATTTAAATCATTGATATTGTTAATGATTTGTTTTTGATCAAAATATGATACAATTTATCACAAATGTTTATTATAATTTAAGTTATCACTGCATCTTTCGCTTGAAAGCTGAAAGTTCAGTATAGCTTTGTAACAGAAAATATTTTGTTATTTTAAGCCTTAGTATAATTTATTTAATAAATTAGTATGTTATGAGAATAAATTGGCCTTCATTACGCAAAGAAATGTAATACGTTTTGCCATGAAATTCAAATATTGATACGAGGAAGTCCTACTTTTCTTCTTACACAGACAGATATTTTCGGTTTAAATGAATGCACATATATTATTAGTTATATGTATATTTGTCAATTTATCCAAATCGTAATCAGTAAATTAAAATTTAAGCGGTGAGCTCCGGAGCAACACATACGCGTATGTTATACACGGGAACGTTTATGCTTTGGTACTGCTACGATTCCAAAACTAAATATGTAGATAGGTCGAATTTAGCCGCCCAAAGAAGTGACTGAGGCAGCATTTCGAGTTCCCGAGCGCATCAGCTACTTTGGCCATTAGTTGCGTAAAGGCCCTTTTACAGGGTAATGTTTACGTACAGATTCTCATACAGAAACAGTGCAGAAACTTGGAAGTTCCTAAACTAGAAGTATAAAAGCTCGAAGTCCTGTTTACTCGGTCTACACATTTCCGGTACGATTCGCCAGTGTACACCATCAGGAGACCTGCGACACACAAATGAATTGACACATTGCGCAGCCCAAGTACATTAATTCTACATTTATGGACGTGTGTTATTATCTACTTTATTAATGTTTTTTTAAGTATTAATGAAACATGAAGGGAAAAAATAGAAAGGACATCATCGTTGTCGCTACAAGCATGGTTGTGGCTGCGAAGGCTTTTGAGAGTGCGCAGGAAAAAACGCTCCGAATGGGGGAAGCCTTAACCGCAGAAGTGAGATTCAGTAACCTCACATTTGGTAGATGCAGTGAAATAAACTCTTCAGAAAAGCACAGAACTCCAATCTGCCACGCCAACATACAAAATCATATGAATCGCACCTATCTAAACTACGAAATTGGAAAGGATGGGCGATTTCCGCCGTGAAGAAATTCGTTTCGAGTCTGCCGCTAGAAGCACTACAGTCAAACTACGTTTTCTATTTGAAAAAATCAAACATGCTCAAATGTTTTCATGCAGAAATCTTGCAGTCTGGTCTGAACGTTATCTGTACGTCCAATCTGCATGAAAGCTGTACCGACGGGGGGGGGCATACTTCCCCTGCTGGATCATAATGTCTGAAGCTAATCTACATATCGACTCGCCGTTTTCTCTCTCCGGGTATCTAATCAGCGGGATGCCGCCTCAGTCGAAATGAATCTCGACTTTAGGACGGGGCTTTAGCTTTCGACTTGTTTCCAGATGTGTGATAGTATAGTGTTCGTACATATAAGTGCGTATATGTAGCAAGAAAGGAGAGGAAAAGGATGCTAAAGGCAAGATAGCGCGCGGTTAAATATATTGTTATATGAAAGCTCTGTGTCTGTGGTCGCTGTGAGTATCCATGACGTCACACTACACTTATGGAACTAATTAATTCAGTTGATGTTCCCGAAATCAATACTTGATCATACAAGCGCCAACACGTTTGGAACATGGAGCTTGTCCCCAGCTGGAGTGGTGCCCCACTGGGGGAGGGAGTATACGTAGAGGAAAAGCCAACGACATGTAGATCTGTCCCGGATCTCACCATCCACCCGAGAAGGAAAACCGCCACTTCTCCGATAAAACATTTAATACACTAACGGGACTAATGACGGCAGTCGCCGTGCCGAGAAACATGAACGAAACCTGAGAGCCGCGCTGGAGCCCTGGCGCGCCAACTCACCCCGGCGAAGAGCTTATCCGCGCAGTGGAAGACGTTGGAGAAGCGGCGGCGTTCGTCGGGGCGGCGCAGGCTGGCGGCCAGCAGGTCGGGCGGCGGCAGCGGCGTGAG